CCTCGACGGCACTTAACAATAACAATGTGCTCTGGTCAGAGCTGTCATTATTACTCCATTACAATGATGCTTCAAGTAGCATAGTTTCATCAGCACGCACTAAAGCAGGTGCTGTTGTTTTTGTTCTGACTTTGTCAATGTTCTGGTATTCTAGCTACAACATTGTGGTAATTAGTATTTGTGAACCTGTAACAATACATTTTTTGAGAATGAAATAGTAATTAAAGAAAAAGGTAGAGAAAAATCAAAAAAGTCTTCCATTCTGTCACTAATAATGTAAATTTTAATGTCGTAATTCAATGTAGAAAGATTTTATAAAACAATTTTGTTGTTAGTATTCTTATATTACATTTAAGCAATTACAGCCATATCATATATTACTCTGATTAAAATTGATAGCAAATATTACTAAGTATTCTGTATGGTCTGGCATGGGAAGTGGTCCATGGGGAAAGGAAGTGAGTTACTGTACCCAGTGACACCAACACTAGAGATACCACTGTATGAAAAAGCATTTTTCAGTTCCCAAAGCCTTTTCATACACTTGAATCTGTTTCCTGCCTTCCACGATGGTAAGCAGAGCCTAGACTGCCAGTATTATGACCCATGTTATAGGTTAGGACATTGTGGCCCAGAGAGGTGAAGTGCACCCAAGGTCACACAGCCAACAAGAGGCAGAGCTGTGGCCCATGCTTGCCTTGCCACCCCCATCCCCAGCAGCCTCTTCTCCCCGGAGCCTTTACTCTGACAGCGGTGGAACCTACTGCAGGAGCCTTGCATGAAAAACTGTGCAGCCGGGGTGCCGCTCCGGAAATACCAGGCCTCTGTTCTCTCGCTTGAGGCTGGGCGCTCAGGGGGATCCTTCTTTAAGGAGTGTTCGGCCTTCCTGTAGAACTCCAGTCTTAATTTTAGCTTGGAGGTCTGCCACCAGTGGCTTTAGGAGAGGCAGGCTGAAGTTATCTGGGACAGCTGTCAGCCGGCATGCTGGGTGGGGCCTATTTAACCGGCAGGGGCACAAGTCTGGGGACACTGAAATTGCTGGTCTCTCTGCCCCAGTGTTTTCAGCCCCGCCGCCCCACACGGATCTCCTCCTGTGGCTCCAGCCAGCTCAGTGATGATGGCTGAAGAACACACGGACCTCGACCTCGAAGCCCAGATCGTCAAGGACATCCACTGCAAAGAGATTGACCTGGTGAACCGAGACCCCAAGAACATTAACGAGGACATAGTCAAGGTAGGCTCGGCCCGCTGGCCCTTGCTCGCAGACCGTGGGCCTGCCCTGCACAACACTCTGCTGCTTGTCACTGGACAGTTTCTTCTCCAGGCACCATCAGCCTTCCTGAAAAGAGGTCTTGTGACTGTCTTCTCCTTCCCACTCCCCCCAAAAAGGTGCGCACAACCCCCAAAGAGCCTTTAGCATAAAACAGGAGCAAAAAAAGTACCCACACATACACACCCAGGTTGATGAGGGTGAGAGAGGCAAGTTACAAAGAAAATGCCTCCCCACCACTCTGAACCTCTCCCATTCACTCCTGGCCCTGGTCCTGGAAGGAACAGAACAGGGGCCAAGTTGGGCTATTTTCTGTGCCAAGGGGGATTTCTGTAGTCTCCATAGTGGGCGTGGGGTTAATCCCCAGAGAGTGGCTTCCAGAAGCTGGCAGCCCCCCAAGGAACACTCACTCTCCCTGAGCTCTGCCCAGCACTTGTTCATCTGGCAGCCAAGCTGAGGGGGCCTCCCTTGTCCACCGGCCAGGAGCGGAGCAGAGGCATCCTCAGAGGGCACCATCCCTGAAAGGAAATGCTTGGAAAAGAGTTATCCAGTCCAAGAGGAGCCCCCCAGAGCCACTGCCTGAAGGCAGCCCTCTGGCATTGCCTGGGTGACTCCAGTGATGCAGCCGCCCCCAGGCCCACACCCAGCTTCCACACCATAGTCGGAGGAATCTTTCTAGAGCAGAATTCCTCAGAGCAGGATCCTCAGCCACCAGCGTCAGAGCCACTAGAGGAGGATTTCAAGGTGTAGGTGTCTGGGGCTTCTACTTCCAACTGAATGGATCAGAATCTCACACCTGCATTGTTTCCAATAGAAACCTAAGGCAATCACCTATGCAATTTTAAATTTTCTAGTAGCCACATTAAGGTCCCAGGGTGGTGCAAATAGTTAACGCTTGGCTGCTGACCATTAGTTTGGTGGTTCAAACCTACCCAGAGGTTCCTTGGAAGACTGGCTGTGAGGTCACAGCCACTGAAAGTCTATGGAGCAGTTCTACTCTGCACACATGGGGTCACTGTGAGTCAGAACTGACTTGAAGACAATTGAGTGTTTGTTTGTTTGTTTGTTTTGTTAGTAGCCACATTGGAAGGGAAAGAAAAGATGGGAGGGCAGGAACAGGTGGAATTAATTTTAGTGATAGTTTTTATTTAAACTCAATATATCCTAAATAGTACCATTTCAACATGTAATCAGTATAAAACAGTTCTCAATGAACTACTGTACATATCTTCTTCATCTTTAAGATCCAGTGTATATTTTATACTTGCCAAGATCAAGAAAACTAAGTGCCACTGAGTCGATCCCAATTCATAGTGATTCTATAAAACAGGTTAGAACTGCCCCATAGGGTTTCCAAGGCTGTAATAGTTTCAGAAGCAGAGTGCCCACTCTTTCTCCTGAGGAGCAGCTAGAAGGTTTGAACCACCGACCTTCTGGTTAGCAGCCAAATGCCTTAACCACTATACCACCAGAGCTTTTTATACTTATGGTACATCTCAATTTGGGCTCTAAATTTTCATCAGAAGTACTTGTTATGAATCTAGAGTTCATAGTACACAGTTGAAAATAGGTTCATTGTTCCAGACATATTTAAAAGTTTTCCAAAAACAGACTTGAGTAGCAGGGTTTAAGTGTAATTAATTAAAATTAAATGAAATCTAAAATTCCTCACTTACACTAGTCACATCTCAAGTGCTCAGAGCTTGCAGTCTCCATGTTAGACAGCAGCTTTAGGGCTTTTTCTGAAGCAAGCCCCTGAACTGCTTTTCTCAATTAGGGTACCTCTCACATGGATGGAGCCTAAACTCCCCACATGGCTTTCAAGGCCCAGTGCAGTCTTGCCCCAACCTGCTTCTTCTGCCCTGTTTGCTCCAGGACCAGCCATGCTAACCAGGACACACTACTAAACCTTTGCCAGGAGTGCCTGCCTTCAAGGCCCAACTTAAATGTTACCTCCTCCTGGAAGCCTTCCCCAACTTCACCAATCAGTTGCTCTCCCCTCCCCACTTGGAGCATTCAGTAGGTTCTGACTTATGGCAACCCCATGTGCTACAGAGTAGAACTGCTGCCTAGGACTTTTTTGGGTGTGATCTTTAAGGAAACAGATCACCCAGCCTTTCTTCCCCCATACAGCTGGGTGGGTTTGAACCGCCAACCTTTCAGTTAGTAGACAAGCACAAACCGTTTGTGCCACCACAACAGCACATATCATCTTTGTATCTATCATTAGTGGTGAAGATGGTAAATTGCAGCACAGTGTGAAAAGTACTGTCGTAGGGAACTTGGGAAACAAATTTTGTAAAATGAAAACATTGCATAATAACTCTGAAGTATGATTAGTCATGATTTCTGCAGTGTGGTCTCGAGGGACTAGGACTAGCCTTGATTTTAATGGACTTGATTTCAAATCTGTGATCTTCTACAGAAAAATAATGGCATGGGGAACGTCACTTAAGTTTTCTGAGCCTCAGTTTCCCCCTATAAAATAAGAATAATATTATTTACCTCCAGGGGGTTAAATGAATCTCAGAGCAACACTGTTCAATAGAAATCTGATGTGAGGGTTAAAGGAGGTGAGTGGTTTGAAAGTGTCTAACACCATTCCTGGCACAAGGCAAGGGTATAGCGAAGGTGAGCTGAATAAGAAAGTCCAGGAGCTCATAGTCTGAAGGACATGAGAACCTTTACATCCAGGTTATTCCCTGGGTGAGGGCAATGCTGGCTCAGTGATAGAATTCTTGGCCTCTACACAGAAGACCCAGGTTTGATTCTTGGCCAATGCATCTCATGCACGGCCACCACCTGTCTGTCATTGGAGGCTTTCATGTTGCTGTGATGCTGAACAGGTTTCAGTGGAGCTTCCAGACTAAGATGGACTAGGAAGAAAGACCTGGCAATCTACTTCCAAAAATCAGCCAATAAAAACCATATGGGTCACAGGGTCCATTGTACATGGGGTCATCACGAGTTGAGGACTAACTCCACAGCAGCTAACCATGACAACAATATCCAGGGTGGTCCCTGGTGGGATACTGGGGAGTGGAAGAGAGGATCCCATGGTTTCTGGGAAGATCCACAAAAATAGGTGCCAGTGCAAAGGGGGCTCTCGGGTCCTGCTGAGCCTAGAGTGAGCTTCTAATCCAGAGGGAGGGGTAGGATCAAACAGCCACTTTTTGCAGCCTCCCCTTGGGGCTGAAAGCTATCATCCCTTGGGGTCCTGGGGGCCCTGAGGCCTCTGGAAAACATCACTGAGAAAAAGTAAAAAGGCCGGCAGATAAGTTTGATGAAAAGAGATTGTGATTTTGTTTTTTATGTATTTGCATGTATGTGTGTGTGTGTGTGTGTGTGTGTGTTGCCACATTTTCCATCACAAAAGATACTCAATGCTTCCTAAACAATGACTGCCCCTTTGGTTTGAGGAGTTCTTTGGCCTTTTCTCTTTCTTTTATTTGTAAATGACTGAGAAAGGAAAATGTTTAGAAATCCAGAACAATCAAGTAAAGACCACAAATAGGTACAAACAGATTTCAAGTTTATGTAATGGTCCACTAGGGAATAAGGAAAAGGAAGGAAGGAGGATGTGGCTAGAAGGAAGGGGGGCATTCTCTGTGCATCTGGCCAGCCTTCTGATCACCTGGATTTCTTTTATCAAGTGGGGAAAAGGAAAGATAAAGAGAAGAGGAAGGAAAAGTGATGGACAGAAGGAATGAGACAGAGAAAGATAGAGAGAAAGCAAAGATAGAGGAGGAGCTGAAGCCTGGGAAGGCCCTGGTGGCTCTCATCAGGGGTGGCTTCACATGTGGTAACAGACTTCATGTAGGCTGGAGTGAGTGACACAGAAAGAATGCTGGACATGGGACTAGGCTACCAAGACCAGAGTTCTGGTCCCAGCCCTGACACTAATTTGCTGTGAAATTCTGGGCAAATCCTTTTCCCTCTCTGGGGCCAAGTCACTAATGCAATCAGAGGTTGGCTGGAAAGTGGGAGGCCCAGTCCACTCTGCCACCAGCCACTGAGATTTCACACAGAAAAGTCATGGATGATGAGTGGAGACATATCCACCATCCATCCCCGTGGCTTTGACCCCCAGCCAGAGGAGGCATTTATTTGCCTTTGATTTTCCTCTGTCAAAACTTCCCCAAGCAAGGCCTGGCTCTGCCCTTGAATCCAGGCTAGAAAATGAGTGCCAAAGGCCGAGGGTGAGCCCTGTCAGGCCAATAAGCTTAAACTGCAGTCTCCAAGGTATGGGGCTAAGGCCAGGGCAAAGTCAAGGGTTAGAGGTGGGGACATGGAGAAAGTACACTGCCCCCCACACATACCTCCCACCCTCCTGACCTTTACTACCCTACCATCATCACCAACAATGATCTCACAAGTTGCTACTGAGCACCTGCTATGCGCTAGGCACTGTTTTCTCAGAGGAGCTCTTCTCAGAGGTGATGAACATGACAGACCTACCTCAAGTACCTCTATGGCAGGCTCTAGAGGGTCAAAAATGTATGTCACAGGTCCCTAGGGCTCTCCAGCTTTCCAGTAGGTACACTTGAAGTCACGTTTCCCTTGTTGCAAAGGTTCTAACCCCCTTCCCCATGTATGCTATAGGATCCCAGCCCTTTCCCAAAGTCATCCCAAATAATTTCTGAGAGGCCTCAGGGGCCGCTTTATCAATAGCGCTTTCTTGCTCCCTCACTCACACTTGTCACCTGGGCCCTAAAACTCAGAGGGTCTCACAGGTCCTTCCGCTTCTGACCTCAACCTACTCTTCTTAAGAATGCAAAGGAAATCCTTCAGAGAGGACAGAGGGATGGACACAATCCTAGGCCTCCATCATACTAGTTCCCACCCCACCTCCAGCCCATACCTCTCACAAAACTCCCTCCTCCTTCAAAAACACAAACACCCTTTTGCCTATCGGCTCAGGCCAATAAATGCCAGAAGAACCAGTACCTCCCCAGATCTGCAGG